CTATGATATTACTTTTGCATTTTCCGCCTTTATCCTCTTTGAAATCCGCTATTTTCCCTTGTAGCACGTGTTGACACATTCACTCACATTGGTTAATCGGTTTGCTAGTGGAGGGACTAGGGTAGTGGTGGTGGTGGTGGGTTGGAAACGTGAGGGGGGTGTGCAGTTGGTGGAAGATTATCAGTGAAGAGTGCGTTAAGGGCTTGGAGGGGGTGGGAGGGTTTTTGGTTGCGGGGGTTTAGAATAATGGAGTGCTGTGGATGGATTTTGGGAAAAGGACGCGTTTGATAAGGTATCGCGAATTGATCAATTAGGAACGCTTACGAGGAAAATGGATTATGCTGCGGTGAAAAACAGAAGGCGTAATTATATATCAGGCCCCGCCGGTCAACGGATCTGCTTTACGTAATTTTCTGCTCTCGTTAATTTTGTCGTCCGATTTCTTCTTTCTATCTTTCCTTTCTCTTCTCTTGTTTTCTCGGTTTGTTCGAAAGTAGGCTGCTCGACAGGATTGTTTAGAGAGGCCGAAAGACACGATATTTTCATTTTTTTGTCCGACGAAAGAGATTGGCGAGTCGCGCTGTCGAATTCCTGTTGAAAATTCGTCGACCGAGGGACATTTTCGCGGGTGCCGAGAGCGTCGAAAGTCGATAACAAGTCGCCTACGATCGCGAGGGGGAAACCGAAGCTCGATCAAAGATGGGTGGCGATTGGGAAAGTATACTGCCTATCGTTTCCGCGATTTCTCGTGTCGCGCTCGTCCTACGCGTTTTATCGAATTCGTCCTATCTCTCTGCCTGAGCTATCTTTTTTTTTAAAATTTTTTTTCTTTTTTTGCCTCTGTCGCCTCTCCTCCTCTGCTCGTCCTGGAACGCGACAACGTGCCCAACTTGCGATTTCGAATCTTTTTTTGTTTTTTACGTGTGTGTTTCCGTCTGGTGGTTTCGGGAGAAAAAGGTTGAAATGAAAACCGGGGGTCTTAACGAGCGGGATTTCGTCGGAAGTGGAAGTTTGATATTGAGCTACGTTGTCACGAACGAGGAAGCACATCGCGTACGCGTTCGCGTTTTTTTGTTGTTGTTGTTGTCGTTTGTTGCACTGGTTGTACGTATGCGTGCGTACATACATACATATATGTATATCTTTATATATAGATATATAATATTTTGTTATATCATCGGCTATTTCTCCTTCGTGTTTTTTTTTTTCTTTTTTGGTCGTCGTACAAAAGAAATGAGGATTGAGTCGTTTTTCTTTTTTTTTACCGAAAGTTTTCTGTGCTATAAACCGGAAGAAAAGTAAATCATTCCAGCGAACCCAAACTATTGCCTGCTATTGTTTCTTCTATTATGCGTCGGTATCGAAAAGTGTGTGTTTTCTATGAATTTCTGTTTTTTTTTTTTTTTCTTTTTACGCATGTGCTCTCTACCTTTCCTCTTTCTCGTTCCTTCCGTTTGGCCGTGACGTGTGTTTTTGGTTTTTTTTTCTCTCTCTTCGATTTTTACTCGTTTTCGCTCGAGGGGAGGGGGACTTTTTTTTTTGCTTTGCCGACATTACAGTGTGCAATCACCGTCAAAAAAAAAAATTTTTTTTCTCTCAACTCTCGCATACTCTCTCTTTCTCTCGCTTTCTCTCTCTTTCTCTCACTATTCGCGCTCCCTATATACTTCGAGTTCGATAATTTCGTCTAAAATTCCATTTTCGCCTTAACTATACACAATAATCATAATATATAATAATAATAATAATAATCACGACTCGAATACATCATCGATCACCTCCGAATATAGATACAATAATTTTTTTTCTCATCTTCTTCTTCATCCTCTTCAACTTCTTTCCGCCTTTCTCTCTTTCTCTCTTTTTCTCTCTCTCTTTCTCTCTCTCTCTCTCTCTCTCTTGCATTACATCTCACAATAATGATCGTTTAGGTCGTCGTATATCTATACATATACATATACATATACATATACATATATATATATATAATTTATAAAATGAAAATAGGTACAATTTTGGACGCTTTTCTTCGTCGAAAAAACGCTCCGAAAATTTCATTTTCGCTTAATAATGCCCATCGGTTGCGATTCTAGTCCACTTGGTAGTAAAATTTTGTTTAGTTTTTTTTTTTTTT